AAAAATTAAAAAATAAATAAATAAAAAAAACCTTTTTCCAATCCTACGTGGACAATATTATGGGAATAAGTTTTTAAACCGACGCAAACAGAGAATTAATTTACAATTCAACAATTTTTATGGAAATTGTTCTAACACATGTCACCTCCCTTAATATTTATATTCAAGTGAGAAAATGAAGTGTTCCATTTCCACCATAATAAAATAAAGTTCAATTAATTAGTACTTATTACATAAACATATGAATTATAATAAATATAATCTTTTCATCTCCTAGACTTTAAATATAATTTAAACTAATATATCTTTTCATATTTCACAATCTTCATGTATATATATCTAAATAAATTTCTTCATCTTCTTTCACAGTTTTACCATCCTCAGTCTTTTTTTTTCCTTTAAGTTTTAGAAATAAAGCAATTATTTCATATAATTAACCCTAAGTAATAACCCGTGTATTAAACGGGCCAAAAAGCTAGTTAAAATTGAATACGAAACCTCCCCAAAAAAAACATAATGAAAGGGATACTAAGTCCACCGCCAAAATGCTCACTAAAAGGAGACATATAATGACTCATGACTTCGTGCGTATAGAAAATAAAAAGGCCTTTGGGCTAATCCAGATTTGGGGATTAATTTTGGATGGTTAGGTTTCAATCTCCTCCCAATTGTTGTTGTGGGGGAATCGAACACGGGTCCTCCTTATCAAATATAGTTTCAATCACCACTACACCAACAATCAATTGGTAATACTCATTGATATATATGTCAACACCTCAACTAAACAATCAAACATTTGTCAATATTTCAAAAGAAAATACACTCCTTGAAAATATTTACATAAGTACTCATTCACGTACGACCTCTGACACTATTATGGTAATAAGTTAATAGCAATAGAGTATCATAGACATCTTCTCTTTCTTTAATTCCTTGTAAATAATTACTCACACATATTTGGGTTTAAAGTCATTGTCAACAAATTTGATATATCAAGCATTAATCATGTGTATAATTGTATATCTCCATTTCTAACAACCTCTTTATATTAACAAATTTGACTTCTTATCTTATTTGTGGGCCGTACGTAGTGAATTATAGACCATTTCACATCAGTCCATCACTCCATTGTCGTAAATCATTGTTATTTTGTATGATGTTAAAACAAACAACCTAATCAAAAAAATCTTATCTTATTTGCGGGCCGTGATGAATTCTAGGTCATTCCCCCAGGCCATCGCTCCATTATCTTAAAATTAGGACAGGTTATCATTTAAGGTGCGATTATATTATTAGATAATAATCAAAAAGTAAGATTATTAAGAACAAACCGATCAAATGTGGAATTATTATTCTTTTTAACAAATTATAGAATGATTTTCTCAAAAGTCATGTTTTACAATGAAATGAATCACATAATTCAGTTATCTTTTATAGATTCACTCTATTTGGATTAAAAAATAAGAGACAAATGAAGTAATTAATTGTAATAAATTAAGTCGTTATATTATACGACATTAAAATTTAAGGCACGGAATAGCTTAAAGTTTCTCTATACTCAATGGACATACATAACATATACGTAGTATATGTAAGGGTATAAAGTTTGTCAATTATCATAAATGTTAACTAGGGCTTGCTCCTGAAGAATTGATGCATCATGCATACATGCTGCATGCATGTAGTACTCAGATCCGTTGTCGAGAACCACAAATTGAAATAAAGTATAGTTGGTTGTATTACAATTTTATCCAACTAGTAATCAATATTAGTTTCTTCACAAACTTTTACAAAAATCGGGTATACAATAATTATTATACATTTATTATAAAGATCTCTTTAAGTGATAAAAAGTTACCCTTAAAATGAATAAAAGCTACTCGAATATGTATAAAAGTAACCCAATTCAAATAAAAATAATCTACACTTTATTGGTAAAAAATCACATTTTAAATGACTAATTCAAATATTAATGATTGAAAGTAATTTTATTACCCTTATAAAACTTTTCTTCTTTTGTGTATATAAAAAATCATATTACGTTCAAAGTTACCTAAAAAGGCAAAAAATTACCCTAAATTGGTGTAAACCAGATGTATAGGAGAGTCCTGCATTAAATCTCAACATATTCATGATTTAATTTGTTGGGCTCATGCTTTTGATAATTTCCAACTCAATACTCAATCATTGATTTGAGGCTACAAACTCCTGAAGAACAAGTTTTGGTTTTTGGCAAATGCCTCAATCATTAACCAAACCGACTCCTCTGAAAATCATTAAATCACCCTTTCTAGGAATGATCTGCTTATAGTAGTTATTATCAAATCATGATACAGTTTAACCTAACAAATTTGCGATTCTAATTAAAAAATCTACAATGGAGAAATTTGGGAGGTTGAGATTGAGAGTATTGAATAGAAGATTGAGGGAGGATGAGAGCAATGATATGGTTGTAATCGTGGAGAGAGATAAATTAATAAGGAGGGGCCCATTAACGGAAATAGTAACATATTCCATTAAACGGTAGCAAAAATGGTAGTAAAATAAAATAAAAGTTTAGATGAGTAGCAATAATCAAAATGATTCTTCAAGTGGTTGTAAACGTCAAATTTTTCAAAGTTTGGAAGTTTAGATGGGAATTAGAGAAGGAGGTTGCTGCGTCTTTGCACGTTTTTTTGCAAGCACCATCAATGCAATGTAAGCCCGAGCAACAGACCCCCTTGCCAATCCCACAAGCTACACCTTTGTCTTTGCACGTTTTTTTGCAAACACCATCAAAGCAATGTAAGCTCGAGCAACAGACCCCCTTGCCAAACCCACAAGCTTCACCTTTGGCTTTGCACAATCTTTTGCAAGCACCATCATAGCAGGTTGAGTCCGAGCAACAGACCCCTTTGCCAAACCCACAAGATTCACCAAGGTCTCGGCAAAATTTTCTGCAAACAAGGCCACTGAGGCGATTGCCAACATCATCAACTGTGTCGTGGCCACTACCACCACCACCACCATCAATCAGTACTTTTGCAAGCTCATCAAACTCCATGATGTTTGAGAGCGGAACTGATTCACCCACCATCATAAAGGCAAGGAGAATTATTAAACAAGCACACAACTTATTGTTATTCATATTGAATAATTGATTTCAATGTTTGATTTATTGTGTTGTAAAAGAGTTTAGAGCCTAATTTTATAGCCATGCACAACCTAATAATTGTGTCTAATCTATTTACAAGTGTATGGTTGATAATGCTTATAATTAACAATGTGAGTAATTTCTTTTTCTCAAGTTTATAGAGATGTCAATTGTCCAGCTAGTAATAATACGTAGATATTATGTTGAGATGAGAGTATGGTTAGCAGAAGTGCCACAGCCATTCTCATAGAAAGAGTTTTTTTTTTTTTTTTTTTTTTTTTTAATTTTTGACCAATCACTAAGTGACATGTGTCATCTTTCAAAAAAAAAAAGACAAGTTACCTAATTTACAAGTTATCGGTCACAAAAGATCAATAAAGGTGGGATTATTAAATAATAATCAAAAGTTGGGATTATTCACAGTGAATCGCCTAAAGGTGGGATTAATAAAATCATTTTTTTTTTAAAAAAAAAAACAAATTCTTTTTGAATAAATGTGTACTACTATATGTTTTTTTTAGGGTAATGCTATCATAGCTCCTAGGAGGCTAGGACTATATATAAGCTAGAGGTTATCAATGGGTGGGTCGGGCTGAGAGCAAAAAAGTAAGTTTATTCCTCAGGTCGGGCTAGAATATGTGTGCCCAAACTACCCAGGCCATGGGGGCTTTTCGGGCTGGACCAAAAAAATAACTAAAATTGCATAAAATTGATTTCCCAAGCTCGCCCAAATTTTTTATTTTTTTGGGCAGGGCCGGACCCGACCCAATTTTGGGCCGAAAAAATCTACCCAAAACCCACACTAAATTGGGCCAAGCTCGACTTGATCAGGCTGTCAAATTTCAAACTAAAACCTGTTAAACTGCCCGAAACAAACCGACCCAAATGAGAACCGAACTGATTAAAAACCGTTTTTTGAAACTGAAAACCGATCCGAACTGTATGTGAGTGAACCCGAAATCGAACCGATCCGAATAACGTTACACCGTATAAGAACCGAACCAGTTCTAAACCGAACTGGAAGCAAACCGAATAAAAAAAAAGAACTGAATTGTTTCTAACCCGAAACCGCTTTCAACCTAAAACCATTTGAATTGGGATAAAAACCGTTTACACTGAACCGTTAACAACCCGCAACCCGTTGCACCGAACTGTATATAAACCGAACCGCTTGCAAACCGAATCGTTTATGAAACGAATCGCTTATAAACGAATCGGCTACAAACTACTTACTATAAAGAGAATATTAAAATCAAGTTAAAAGGTGTTTTAAATGAAATTTAATTATGCACACATGTTTACTATCGATTGAGCATTATTATAAACTGAACCGAAAAAAAACTGAACTAGTTATAAACTGAACCGAAAAGAACCGAACTAGTTATAAACTAAACCGAAAAAGAACCAAACCAGTTATAAACTGAACCAAAAAAGAACTTAACTAGTTATAAACTGAACCGAAAAAGAACCGAACTATTTCTAACCCGAAACCATTCCCAACTCGAAACTGTTTGAACCCGGATAAATACGTTTACGCCGAGCCGTTAACAAACCACAACCCGAGCGTTAGAATCGAATATAATAGCATAAATGTAGGGAAATAATATCTTAATTTGATTTAATTTCCAAAAATTTCACGGATTATCTTTAACTTGATATAATTTCCAAAACTAATAATCATGATTTGATTATTTTTTACTTAGGGTGCACGGAAGTGTACACTAGCAGCATAAATTCAATATATACGCCTCATTACATTGAAGCAAAGATAATACAACTTCACCCAAAACACAAAAACAAATAGAGCAAGACAAGAGTGAAGAGAGAAGAGAGAAGAGAGAAGAGAGAAGAGAGGAGAGTTAAAGTCATGGATTCAACATTATCAATCACTCAAGTACGATTGAATAACTACGATGAAGAGATGAAAAATCTAACTGATTTATTAGCATTATACAACAATGTTTGTATTGATACGCGCTTCACTCCATTCTTATGCGTTACACCACGAGGTGCAACCGAGTTGATGAGATACGAAGATATGAAGTACAACACCGGCAATTGCAAGTTGTTTCAAGTCGGATTAAGTCTATGTGATGATGAAGGGAAGATAGGTGGTTGTTGGCAGTTCAATCTATGTGATCCTCGGACGTACGTTCAAGGCGAAACCACGAGTATATTTCACAAATTCAAAGTATGTAGGATTTCGTAACATTGTGGAAAAATTCCATGGAAAAATCAAGTGGGTTACATTTCATGGTATGTACGACTTAGCGTTCTTGATTAGTAGTGTGCTCGGATTGTCGATACCAAGTACGAAAGACCAATTTCTTGAACTAGTTAAGAGGGTTTTTGGAAGGTTTTACGATCTTAAAGCAATGGTTAAGCACTATGAGAACTACTTGGGTCCTTTGAGTGAATATGTGTTAGGATTGGGGAAAGTGACTCAAATGGTTGGGTTTAAACTACTCGGAAAGCGTCATCATGCAGGGTCGGATAGCTTAGCAACGGCTCAACTTCTAAGCAAGTTCTTTGAATGGGATTTGAAGGGATACTCTCGCTTCGAAAATTTTCAAGACTACACAAAGTTTGAAGGGATACTCTACGGCCTATCTCCATCTCAAATAAGTAATGCTACTGATATTCAAGAGGCTGTTCATATGCGTCATCATAATACAATGTATCTTCCTAACGCTCCTATGGTCTTCTATGCGCCTCGTAGTCCATTTTCGAGGATACAAGCTCCGCCGCATAAGGTAGTAAGAGATGTATTGGGCATCCCTTATGTTGTTTATGGTAATGTGCCCTCTATGGTACATGCTCCATCATCAAGTGTTGTAGTTTCTTCAATTCCCTTGTGTTGTTAATAAGAGATTTTATGTGTTGTTCTTTCACTGTTTATTTTTCAATGGAGATAGATTTTTTTTTCTATTTTTTTTATTATTAAATTTTTTTGGATAAAAGGATATGATAGAGAACAAAATTAATTTCACCTAATTTTGATAATCCAAAACAAAAAAGCAATAATATTAACTTACAATTTTACTAAATCCGTTTTTCAAATCTAGTTGTCACATTATTACACCTTTTAATTTAGTTGTCACATTTATTAGTTCTAACACAAAAAAGCAATAAATTGGAGCCTAACTTGCGTGAAAACTATCTCCGAGAATAAGTTTTTTACAGAGATGAGTAATCAAGGTAGACGATGGTGAAAGACTCGAGTAATTTCAAGCAGTACGTACCAATCGAGCATGAAAAAGTTTTGCATTTTAATCTGCCTTTTAAAACAATATTCTAATTCTAATATTCTAAAAGGCTAAGTCACACAATATATTAATTTAAGAATATTATATTCCAATCTCATGAAAACTGTACAATGACATGTATGAACTAATGAACACACTAATGGTACAAAGTTATATAAATCAGTGAACTATATATATATACATAGCAATGGATTTGCTTGTTGACTATACTGTCGCACAAATTCAATTTATATGAGTAATGTAAATGTAGACTACACACGAACTGTGCACATAACTGCAGTTTTGAAATCTAGCGGAAATTGGAAAGGTGTCCTGGTAATGAGAGATCTCCATGACATTTTTCTGGGGTCATAAATTTGCATGAACAGGATAGTGCCCCTTCTGCGATGCCTTGATCTTCGGATTGCTGACAATTCAACTCCCTGGAGGAGGGAGATCACATGGAGCTCTCCTCGAAGAGCTACGAAGCCAAATGGTGATCCATCCTGAGTTTTTCTTGGAACAGTTGATTCTTTTAACCACCGATTTGATGCCATGTTATATCTGTAACATTTTCAAGTACAAAATGGAATCACACAAGAAAATATAAATAATCATTTATGTCACACAAACATATACTCTGTAATAACATCTTCCTGTAAATCATGAAAATGTTCAATTATACTTGACAAATTATGAATCAACAAAATCAATTTGTTTGAAAAGGAAAGACAAATAGTTTCTGTTCTGTGCCATGATTGCCAGTTATTTGTAGCATTCCATGTCCAGCATTATTTGCCCTTTTCAGTTAGAAGTAGAAGTATTACTCTACATCAGAAAAGGTTCAGAATACAACTGAAGGGACAGGACACAAGAGGCACTAACTGTAAAGTTAAAAATAAAAAAAATAAAATAAAATAAAATAAAATAAAATAAAATAAAAAACCTTCTCTAGGCTTTTGCTTTCTAACTTCTAAGGTTCTCCGAGTAACTTCTAAGGCTTCATAACTTGCTGAAAAGGTGTTCGCAAACATAAGATGCTTTACTAAAGTTCATGTACTCTTTGAAGCGGCAGGAAGATGTGAGGTTTGCTAAGTTACTCACAGGTTCAGCGAGGTCTTATACACGGGCTTTGTGGCCAAATCTCCAAACACACCTCAAAATGAAAAACAAACACCCACATTTTATTCAACGCATTAGAAATTCATTTAAGGAAAAACACTGCACAAATTGAATTAGTACCTATTCTGTCATCTAAAGCAACCAAGGAACACCAGGCCATAAGGTCATATAAAATGTACCAGCAAAGGATGTTTCTGGGGATTTTTATTAGGAAGATGAATAATCTACACCACCAGAAATCTACCTAAGAACATACTGGAAAATGCATGCTACGAGGAATCATGATTTGACTTCAATATCATAAATGGAAATTAATTCAAAGACGATCATGAAAGCAATAGACACGGGAAGATTCTACATAAAGATAAATCACATAAATAGCCTAAACTAGAAGCTTTACACTTAAATTTGACGACAAAATGGCATAATAATCATGATTTTGCATCGTTTAAATATCACAAGAAAAGCCTTGAGCAATATCATTTTAATGCGTCGCCAACTTCAATAGTGCATAAAATGCACATTGCAACACTAGCAAGCATCATCATATATGTAATAGGCACTAGCAACAGTAGAAGCACTTCAAAAGTTTGAAGGGATACATCTGAACAAAGAAACAGAGCCACAAAACAGAATTCTGTACTCAAAAATAAAAAAAGCAGATACAAAATAATCAGCAAAACCTATTCTAGGTCAAACCAGACTCATCTCTAATCCAAGAATACAGATCAGACTTCTTGACAACTTTCCTGCTGATTATCACAACACTTTTTGTAAATCAAAATTTGAGCTTATTGGCAGCTGATTTTCATTATTGATAAGAATCTGTTAAGATTTCATGTGAGAAACTTTAAAATAAGTCATGGCATAATTAAAAAGAACAAGTATATGCCTCACTTAACTTAATTTAAAATACGCATAATACACACAAGAAATAGAGGATAGAACTACTCAGAACAGGTAATTTGGTTAAAAGATGGCTAATTTAATCTAAATAAACAAATGTACCCACAATAACAATGCAAACATTCTGATAAATCAAATTTTCACAAACTCTTTCCTTCTAAACAACCTTCATCGGTGGCCAAACCCACACATATTCATGCACCACAACTAGATAATCAACTCTTCAAATATACTATGACTCCAGTCAACAACAGAAAAAAAGCATTTGCTTAGTAATCCTCAATAAATGCAGTTGCAGTTGCACAGTCTTACTGCACAGTCAAACATGACATCACTCACATCAGTGTAAGAAACCATGCAAATGTAATAACAAGCTCAAGTGCTCAACTAATCTCTCCCAAAACATTTCATTCCCAAGTTTTATTTACAGAAATATTTTAGTTTTGACACAGTAACACATCCATTGTCATTCCCCTATCCTAATCCTAATCCAAACGGTTTAGTACTATTACTCTACATACAAACAACTGATCCATTCACAATCCTAAATTACAATGCAATCACATAATCACCATTACTAAAAATCAGGAAAATCCCTTTTCTCTGTCAATATCACTCCTCTAAGTCCTCCCTAATCTGACAAGGCAACACTCCAAAACAAACTTCTAGAGTTCTAAGCACACAATATACATAAAACAACAAGACAGGTATCATCTAATAGATTTAACTTGAACATTCGTAGCAACACACTCCATCCCCAACAAATTGAACTAAAAATTCATGTAGAACACTTCACATTAGGCACAGCATCGACAAAAAGACCAAGCACACCAATTCAATTTGATTTAAGATGCTCATAGCAGCAAGGAATCAACAATATGACAGATAAAACTACTCAAAATGGGTGATCTACTATTCTTACCGACAAGAACACAAAAGGATGGCTAATTCACTCTACATAACCAACCATGCCCACAATAACATATTAATAATGAAAACATATTAGGAATTACATCTTACATTTGGTATACCTAGATAGCTTTGCATGCGGAGTATAAATTAGAGTTGTGTTAGATAAGTTAACCTCATGCTGTGGAGTCGATTTAGGTTTAAGCTAGAAGGCCAAGGCAGGTAGATTTTCTAACATTGCATCGTAATTATACTGCCTTACCCTAAAACTTGATAAAACATTCTAACAAAATCAACTTCTAGTTGAGATCTTTCAAGCAACCAACTTAACATCTAAAAATGGCCAAAGGCAGGCGCAACACTGTTCTATACTAATAGTCGTTCAGACATTCTAAAGACTCCAACAAACAAGAGAATAAAGCAATTACTTAATATAATGCTCCAAACAAAGCATTAGCAGATTTAGCACACTTCACATCAGGCACAGCATCGACATAAAGACCAAGCACACCCATTCAATTTGATTCAAGATGCTCATAGCAGCAAGGAATCAACAATGTAACAAATACTCAAAATGAGTAATATACTATTCTTATCTACAAGAATCCAAAAGGATGGCTAATTTAACCTACATAACCAATCGAGCCCACAATAATATATTAAACATATTAGAAAACATATCTTACATTTGGACATTTGGTATGTCTAGATAACTCCACTTACGGGGTGAAAATTAGAGTTGTATTAGGAAGGTTTACCTAATGCAGCGGAGTCAATTTAGGCTAAAGCTAGAAATCTAACGCAGGTAGACTTCCTAGCATTGCATTGTATTTATATTGCTTGACAATTGATGAGAAGATTATGCCTTACCCTAAAACTTGACAAAACATTCTAACGAAATCAACTTCTTGGCAGTATCTTTCCTTGCAACCAACCCAGTATCTAAAGCTGGCCAAAGGCACGCGCAACACTATCCTATACTCATAGTCCTTGAAACATTCTAAAGACTCAAATTAACAAAAGAATAAAGCAATTACTTTAACATAATCCTCCAAACAAAGCATTAGCACACTGCCACACTCTAATTACACTAAACATACACAATTAATCATCACCAATTGTTGTACACTTAATTAACAATGCAAACAAATAATCAACTTTAAAAACTACTATCAAATAGAGTAACAAAATTTTAAAAATTTGTAATAAAGATGATGAAATTTCACCTGAGAATGTCATTCCCATCAAGCATAAACACCCTAGGCAATTTCTTACCTGCCTCCTCCTCATCATCAATCACCACAACCTTTCCAAGCCTAGCTCTCTCCTCATCCCCCCACATATCCCCAACCTCCCTCCACCGCCCCGCCCCCGCCTCCGTTCCACCACCACCATTCTCCAATTCCAACACCACCACATCCTTATAATACTCATCCACCGGCAAAACACCATTAATCGTCCTCGCCTCGCCGTACCCGCCCATCACCCAAAACTCCCTCCCACCACCCACACTAAACCCAACACACCCGGCCCGTGACCCGGGAAGGTCAGCAAGTGGGGCCCACTCATCCCTCTCAACATCATACACCTCAGAAAACCCGACCCGTGACCCGGCTGCCCCGAACATCGCATGCCTTGACCCACCTCCCGCCACCACAATCCTCCCACCCGCCACCGCCGCC